GGCTTGAGTCTTAGATATAATTAAAGCACATCATGTGCTGAGTCCATTATAATTATAGTAATGAGCATCAAGAGAAAGATCAATTGCAAAGAAATAAAAACAAAACTATTTAAGACGGAAGAATGCTCTCCACCATTTATGCTGTTTGAGACTAAATTCTTGTGTGGGCTTCCTTTGAGATATGCATATTAAGATGCTTTTTATTTAAACTAAATTTTTATTAGTCTGTCTGAAGATAGTCGGTTGTTTTTCTTAGTAAGATACAATATGGCAGTTTGTTTATGCATGTATTTTTCAGTACCATTGATGGTAATTTTAAAAAACTTTTTTTTTATCTTTATCAGCTACAGTTGAATAAATTCTCATTGCATTAAATCCATCTTTGGTTGATGTTGTACATTCATCTTCTATGTCTGAATCATATTCATAATCACTTTCACTATTAAAATCTGATGATGGTGAACAGTGATTGATTGTTTCTTCATCTCAACTATTAATATTTTCATTTGAATTATCATCAATATCTAATGTACAATCATCAGTTATGTAAATCATATTTTCTAAATCATCACGCATATGTGAACATAAATCATTTAATTCGAAAACATTATTTTTTTTTCAAAAATGATGGCATTTGTAACTTTTCCATAAAAGGTTTTGTATATTCATAAGCTTCATAAATATTTTCTTCAATTTTATCTATTGTAATTTCATCTAAATTTGTTAACATTGATAATGATAAATTATCTTGATGTTGTTTATGATGTGTAGGAAATTTAATTGCATTTGAATCAACATTAGATGCTTCTAAAGTTTTAATTTCATTTAAAATTGAAATTTTTCGAATTTTGGAAAGAAATTGTTGAACTGTAAAATTAGTCATAGTTGAAAACGGACCTGTTAATGACCTTGCAAAACGAAACATGTTTTCAGAAGGTTGTGAACTAAATAAACATATATTCAATGATTCAATAGGTAATTTCTTGTTTAATACTAATAATAAAATAAAAGTGAGTACATGGGCGTTTAATTCAATTGAATAAAATGCTGGAAAACTAATAAAATTTCCTTCAATTTTTCTTATAGATGGTCTCTTAGTTGTTCTCATTGTCATTTTTGTTTGATTAATCGATTTGAATCTCAAATACATAAATCAAAATCGACAAATAAATACAATAGACTATGAATAAAATATTCTTTTCAATATATTTGTCGTTTTGTCAATATAAGCATTAGTTACAAATTGTAGCATTGTTAAATAACAATAAGTTCCAAATGTTTTTCTATTTTGATTTAATAAATTTAAAACCTTTTCCGATAAAATTTTTACACAAGATTTGTAATTTTGTTTATCTTTTACGTAAATATCAGAAACAACTAAATTATGATCAATTTTAGAATAATTGTGAATAAGATTTTCAATATCTTTTATCGATATTTTAAAAGAACCTATCATCAATGAATCTGATTTTGTTAATAAACGATTTCTTGATTTAGTTGCAATATGAGCAGAATCTTGAAAACATAAGAACAACTGTTTTGGTCTTAAGCCCCCCCCCCCCCCCCCCCCCCCCACCACCACCCAACGCCACACAAAACCACAGAGAAATACCAGAGAAGTGGGAGGCGTGAGAGAGAGGACGCAAAAAAACAT